CCGCCGTCGTTCAAGCCAATGCCGTCCGGATTGGGGACCATTCCTGCCCATCAGACAAGATCTTATGATCTGGAGGGACTTCCATTTTTATACATCTTTTTATTTTTTTTTAAAAAAAAGAGCTTTCAGGAGCTCGGGTAATGAATTTTTTGTAAAATCACTCTGATTGGATGATTGAAGTATGTATGTTTGTTTAAGAAAGAAAAGGACCACCGCTAAATGTGATCCTTTAGATCTCCATGTCTTTCTTCTCACATCACATGGTTGGGGGATGGAGAGGGGAGGCCTGTGTTATTTTGAGGTTTTCTGCCAAAATCACCTGGGCTTCAGAAGACACCACCTATGGCACCTATGGGAGCGACAATTTCAATGAGGAGAAATCCACTGACACACCTGTAAGTAGTTTTAGGAGTCTGCTTGGACCATGACTTGGAATCACCTGTGTTGCAAATAAAATAAAATAAAATCTTAGCACTTCTTTCACTTGAAATCTGCAGTTGGCATATGTGTATATAGCCAAGAAGAGGAAGGAAATGCTCTTGCGGCACTTTTTTTTCTTTTGGGTCACGCACAGTAAGCCAAACTATGCGTGGAACTTGGAATTTATGGACTGCGACTGTCCCCCATGGTTTACAGGTAGTCCTCGCCTTACGACCACAATTGGGGCCAGAAGTTCCATTGTTAAGCAAGTGCGGTTGTTAAGTGAGTTGTGCCCGATTTTACAGATCATGAAGTGAATTCTGCTCCCTCCATTGATTTTGCTTATGAGAAAAAACCCCTGGGAAGGTTTTAAATGATGTGTACGAACGTTCTCAGTAATCCAAGTCATAATTATCTCAAAAGGTACTTTTGTTTTCTTTCAAAAGGCAACTGGATTGTTGTTATTTTTTAGGAAGAAGAGGGAGACCGTTTTGCTTCTTTTCCAAGAAGCTTATCAGTTATAACTGATATAACTGATATCGGTTATATCACTTATAACTGGTGAAGCTTAGAACTTCCTTTTCTTCCTCAAATAAAACTGTCTTGTTGGCTTTTTTTTGTGGGGGGGGGGGGAGAAGCACCTTTGAGTAGCAAATGAGGATCATGTGAGCATGGGATGCTGCAACTCTTAAGTAGGTATCAGTTGCCAAATGCTAAAACTTTGATCACATGACTATGAAGACACTGCAGGGATGTGTGTGTGTGTGTGTGTGTGTGTGTTCCAGAATAACTCTGGAAAGCCTCTAGCAATTTCAACCAAATTTGGTACACCGATGACTTACCCTCTGGAAACAAATACTGTGGGGATAAGACATCCTAACACCCCTCGGTGTGTGTGTTCTGATAAGATACAGCCTGTTGTGCCTTAAAATGGCTTCTACTGTACAGCACAGTGGAGTTGCCATGGTAACAGCTTCACAGTACTCCACAAAGGGGCTCCCTCTGGTAAGGGGGAAAATCCAACATTAGAAATTACATTTGGTCCGGACATTTGTGAATGTCTAATACAGGATTGGGATAAAAAAAATACCGGACAATGCTGGGTTAACAGCTAGTTGGTCATAAATGTGAGAACCCGTTGTAAGCTTTTTTTTTTCAGCAGTGCTGCAACTTCGAACGGTTGCTAAACAAATGGTTGTAAGTTATCTATATATGGGAGTTTTCCCATTTTCTGCCTAACTCCCTACCCCCCCCCCCACTTTTTTTTGTCTTACATGTTCAGAAAATAAAAAAAAGATTTGGAAATGATGTGCAATTACTTTAGTGCAAAACCTTAAAAACTCTCGTTTGTATGGTAGACTCCACCCAGCATCTGCTTCAACGATCTTCGGTCAAAGAGTCCATTGCCCTCCTAAGGCATCTCCGTGCCCTCTGGAAGTTCAGATTGCTCTGAGTGCTTCCTCAAAATATACTTCCCCCCCCCCAACACCCCAGCTCTGATTGTGGGTGCTACAGACGATAGATGGGTCATTATTGTCATTATAGAAATGGCATGACTTCACTTGCCATCATCTCACTACAATAATTTGCACAATGAGGTCATGTGACATGCCATGTTGAAGAGGTCGCCGGTTGTTACAGACTCTGCCGCCCAGGATTTTATTCCATTTGCCTGTGTTTGTCTTCACAGGGTGCATTAATATAGTTTGACGTACAGTGGAAATTCCGAGCTTTGTTACGGTTGTAAGCCAAGGACTACGCGAGGTGTTTATAAATTGCAGCTGCTGGGATTTTATCTAAACTTCCTAGTGATAAAGATTCACAACGACAGTGATGAACCGATGAAAATTGTGGATCCTTTATTTCTTGAGGTTGGAAGTGGACAGCCACTTTTGGAGGATTGTTTAACTCTTGTTTTGCACACTGCAAGGGGGAGAATTCGATGATAACAATAGCACTTAGATTTATATACCGCTTCACAGTGCCTTACAGCCCTCTCTAAGCGGTTTACAGAGTCAGCCTATTGCCCCCAACAATGTGGGTCCTCATTTTACCCACCTTGGAAGGACGGAAGGCTGAATCAACCTTGAGCCTGGTGAAATTTGAACTGTCACATTACATGCAGCCGGCAGGCAGCAGAAACAGCCTGCAGTACTGCACTCTAACCATTGCGCCACCGTGGTTCATCCTGTTGCTGGCTTTCCAGTTCTCATTTCTGAATTAAGATTTTAGACCTAGAGTCAGG